AGAACTGTGCGAGCGACGCAGCACCATTGTGTCTACTATTTGGGTTTTTGTTAGTCCTGAAAGACAGATTTTAAAGCATTTCATTTTTTTCAGGTCATAAGTTAAGTAAAAGCGTATTAACATTTTACAAATGAACACCACGAGAGCAAAATCTTCTCTAAAGCTATAAGGAACAAGCAACGCGCACACGGAAGAGCAATAAAGATCAAAATACAGGGTAAAATACTGAAAAGTACGTTCAGGTGACCTATAGCGGAAGAATAAGAAAAACTAAGATGTAAAAACTTGACCAACAAAACTAACTAGCCACTTGCACGCGGAATATACAGATGGCGCAACGGTCATCAAAATGTTGAATGGTAAAACTGAAAAGAACAAACGTTACAAAGTAAGCTTCAACAGCCCCTACTTGATCGATAGTGAGTATTAAACAATACTATACGAATAAGTACAAATACAATAATTTTATACAATAAGCATGTGGCATTTATTAAAAACTAATTTGACAAAATTTATGAAAACCTTCACAAACATCCTCTTAAACAAAGGTCCGCCATTGTTAAAAGTATAACAATGGGATCCCATGAATATGAAATTACTATTGATTTAAGTAACAATAAATTAAGATCGTATTAGAAACTTTGTTTACCCTCAATGCCCCTGTATATTTTTAAGGAACAAGGATTGTTGTCTAAATTCAGTGGTTTTAATATAATTACGTTTTCATGGTAAGTTCTATTATAAAAGCTAAAGGAAACTCTACTACCTTCGCCTCTTCATGGTGATTCATTATCGATTTATTATTTTTTCTGAAACTACTTTAGAAACAACTAATACTTTCGTCTCTAAAAAAGGTGAAGAAACTGCGATTTTCCTCGCTAGTGAAGAAAGCTACTTGTTAATGTTAATAATGACAAATTGAAACAAACCCGTATCTAGATTGCTAAGTGTCAAAGTTCATTATTGCATACGATAATTTTTTTTATATTGATTGTATATAGTTGCAGAAAAAAGTAATGTGTAAAACTTCTGAACTCTCGTTCAATTGACTCACTCGCTACGCTCATGTCTCAAACTTTGAACTCGAGTTGAAAAACTCCACTTTCTTCTCTAGTTGAACAAATAACTATTTGTCGTAGTGTAACTGGAAGTGATTAAAACGAACACACATTGAACAAACTTCAATGTCAATTCCGGTTTATTATTATTGAATTTTTTTATTTTAAATAAGACAGATATTTACTCATGTAGATAAGGTTAAATTTGAGATGCCATCCCTCTACCGAATTTGTTGTTCTAGATACCTAGATATATTCTTTTCTGTACTCTAACATAGTTTTTTCCTAAGTATGTGCGCACGAAGAGTTAATTACATCATTTCCTGCTTAGTTATTACTTCTATTATACCTACTAATAAGTAATAATTAGCACCATGTAATATATTTTAATTATATTCAATATTACCTTTGTTTACACACGTTCCAATATAATATGAGCCAATATGTTACGTATGTAAAATAAAATGTATGTAGTAGGTCCATACGATTTGAGACTTTAAAAATGTATTAAGACTTAATACGCGTACATTTTTGGAGTTTTACGGCGGCTGATGTTCATGAATGCCTGTACCTATTCCTTTGATTCATTTAAGCGAAATCAGTGGCTTTGACCGAAAATTCCAGAAAGTTTGATTTACACCTGAACTAAATCTTGGACACGAATAGAAAATCTGACATGAAGACCCTATCTGGGTCGCACAGAGAATTAGAATAAACACAATTAATTGATTGACAATGGCAAACATCCGGAAACACATGCAACAATTAAAAAAGATCTCTGAAAGAGAGAAAACAGAATTACAAAGCGTGTTTGAACATAATACCCCTCACACACGCAGTCGATAACTAAAAATAAAGGAAAATCTTAAATTACTTGCACTTTTTAAAGAATTCAAATAAATCTGATCGTAAAAGATTTGCGGCATTCAGGCGGACTTATCAAAGACACAAAAACTCTCGCTGACAGCTCGATAAAGCTTCACTTCTTTAATAAGCTGCACGCAATGACGCGAAGTGACTTGATAAATAAGATGGTGGCTGCTTTGTTTACTCACACTTTTTCTGAATATGGACCAATCATTTTCAAACCACTTTCGACAAACTTTTACCTTCTTGTATACTGTATTTCAAAACCGATGAACTGTGTTTTTAACAAAACCAATAGAATAGACAGCCCGAGATTTAGCGTAAATAAATTTACACGCTCTTTAGCCGTCTCGGAACTCGCAGCAGCCTCGGTTCTTCGTTAATTCCCGTATTTAAGAGAACCTTTCACTATAACAAATAATCCCTTTCTTCAGGATTTTCAAATAACTCAATGGGACTTGATAACACGAGCTTCGAAGGAACACGTCCCCACTTATTCTGAAATAACGCGCACATTGTACTATCTGCTTCGTTATCTTTTCTAACAGGAGTAAGTACACGTGCGTTAATTAAATTTCATCCGATAACAAAACTTCTTATCGCACAGACAAGCAGATTTATCTACATTTTAACACGCAATATCAAGTTTTACAATTAAATACACAAATCTAAATAAACAATTTACAAAATTTAAACAAGAAAATAATACAAGCAATTCTAAAAGGAAAAATAACACTGAGGCACCAATTCAAACACAATGAACCAACTTTGCGCCCTTTCGTAGATAATCCCCCAAATTTACGCTTAATAAAATTTAAACTCCCTCGTATACAGGATGTCCCGTCATTATTTTTGATTTAGACAGAAATAACATCTACATAACGTTGTATCAATGTGCTCGAACCTACACATTTCCTGGGCGTATAGTACGGACCTGGGGCTACATCAAGAATGGGATGTACAAGACGATACCAAATACTGCCGAGGATATACAGAAGATATTCATGAGGCTTTCTGTGGTGTATCACAACATTTTAAATTTTGGAAATCTCTACTACAAACGACTGATTTACTTATCAATTATAAAAGCAATATGGGTGTATGGGGATTCGGCTCTGGGGGTGCACTAAATTAAGCAACAGAGACATTGTTGTCGAAACAAGAACGAAAGGTTGCGTTACGAGAAGAAAATACACAGTTCCGAATATTTTTTAAGTTAAAAAGTATTATCGAAAAGCGGTGCCAGTAGTAGGTAATAATTAAAGGAAATGGATATGCGTTTTCTTTGATTAGGTGTAAATCAAAAGTGTAAACGATTAGGTGTAAATCACAATTGTAAATGATAACGTACGATTTTCCATCCACAGATAATTAACTTTTTTAGCGTTTTGTTATAGCGTTGAGTAATTAAATCCTTCACTCAACGGTAATAGTCAATGACGCAACGTCAAAGAAACACTTACACTCGATAGATACTTAAGGTAGGCGTTTCCACCAATAACATTTTTAAACTAACATAAAATTGCAGCGATTAATCAATTCAATCAGCGTAAGTAATCCGAAACAAAGTTTATTCGACCTTTCGTGAGAGATTCCAACTTTACCCACTAAATCTATCGACTAACTGCTACAGCTTTTTGCTAATGAAATGTCCCGGTTGATTGCTTCGGGCCGCAATATAATCGCTGCCTTCGCTAAACCATTATGGATATTGTCCTATGAGCGCCACATCGTCAAATGCCAACATGCATGTCAATTTTTTGAAATAATGTTAGCTAATGCCCGATTACATCCCATTTTCACGAGAGGCGTAAACTCCATTTATTTTAAAAACCATTAACGCAATGGATTAAAAGGGCTTTAAACTTTATTATCAAGGCGACCGTTAAATAACTGAGATAAATTTCTACTTCAAAAGGTCAAAAATTAATTGCAGAAATACCCGAGTGTTGTCGAGCGCATATTTTATAAGTGGGATTATTAATACGTTGTGGAATCACATGTGCGTTTATAGTGAGATGTATACGCCAACAAAATTGATAGGCATATTTACCCACCTTTTAGGTAAGGCATTCGATCAAAATATGATAAATGGATGACGGTGTATTATAGACAGTCGTTATGCTTTTCTCCTTTTTAACTCTCTAAAAACCCACAATAGAGAGGTTGTTATGGTTTTAAACACTCCATACAGATAAAAACCATAGGAGTGGTGTCAAAATGAAACAAGAATGTCGGTGGATATTAATACAAATGATCATGAAAAATGGGGGTTGTTTTTTTAACATTCACGTACAAGTGGCAACTAATGTAACAATTGAAATAAACCCCTAATAATGCCAACGAAATTTACATCATGCCATTAGTATTAAATTATATCCGTCTAAATTCTGCTTTCATTTAAGTCACGTCATTATTTCAGCATTTCCTTGTCATTTGTGACAGTTTATCATTTTGCTCTGACAGTAGGATGGAGTTTTTAACTTAACGCAAAGCTCCGAAAGACTCTCCGTGATAAGGTGTTAAAACCACTAAACTATACTGCACCGAAATTCCTCACCAGGTATTGGTACAGAATTAAAGCCATGATAGAAAGGGGGAGATAAAATTACTCTCTGTTTTGTACTTTCCTCTTTTTATATCCTTTTAAGTAATTTCGCACAGATTTTGCGGAAGGTTCCATACGTGGAAAGTGACAAAAAATCAACTAATTTTCCCAATTACAAGATTACTTAATAATATCACAAACCTTTCAAATAAAATCTAGAACCACGTCGGCCAACGTTTTAATTTCATGGCATATTTTGAACAGTTAACAGTTTCAACGGAAGGGTCAATTAATCCCTTTCCGCATGCGTTATTCTGTACTTCACTTTAATCAATCAAGAAGATTCCGTTTCTTGTTATAGGAAATATTATAGCACAACAGGCTGTTTAGTTCTTTACTGTCATTTGTAAAACCAGAGGGTGCAATAAACGTAAAATGGTACATTTGATGACATCCAAAGTCACACATACACAAAAATCGTTAATAATGCTATTTATAAACAGGACACGCTGATACAATATACATACCTATAGTCCTACTGCTGTGGTTGAACACTAACCTGAAAAAAAAACAGATAACAGATAATGATTATACTCATCAGAAAGCAGATAGCATTATGATTATACTCATCCGGAAAAAAATAATTATTAAGTAATTACTAATATCTTTGGATCGGGTTCCCCTATCCTTTATAGAAACACAAACATTCACGGGATTAATTCCAGTAAATCCACTTCTTCAGGAATGTTAGAATGACTTTAATTATTGATAATTTTATTTGAACCTCGTATAAACAAATTAGGTACACAACGCAACAAAATGTTTGCACCTTGGACTCCAACGCTTTCGTAGTAATTTTTTTTAGTTAACCAAACGGTCATTTTGGAAGCTTCCTGCGGGGTTTTTTCAGTAATGTTGGAGGTAGCATCAAAGTTTACCTACCTAATATGGACTGTACTCCCCCCACCCCCCACCACCGCCTCTACTTAAGGCAATACTGCAAAATACATTGACCTTTGCTGAGTTTGTAGACATTTATGGATAAATTTTATGAGTAGTTTTTATTAACGTAAGTACCCTAAATACGCAGGACACAAATATAGTCGTAAAATAATTTCTGTATATATGTTATTAACAAAGATTATGCATTATACACCCGGTATCCCGTTAATAAAGGGTCCTGTAAAATAGACACCTTATCAGAAACAATTTCAAAAATAATCCGAACCGTAAAATTATTACTTATCTACTTAACAGTACATATATATATAATATATTAAAAGTTTCCAAGTGGAATGTTTTAGAATTGGTAACAGAACAATGGCTACGGAGCTTTTAGTACAATAACGCTCAAATCCCGCACTCCGCTTGAAAGCTTTCTCGAGCACAAAAAAACCCTAACTAATTTAATTTTCAAAACTAATATGTAATTGATGAGTAATCGATTCAATTACCTTAAGTAACGCGAAAAGCTTGCCCTAGATAACTTTATTCGGCCTTTCGTGACAGGGCCTACAACTTTATGAACTGAAACTATCGACTAACCGCTTATTGCGAATGAAATGCCGGAGATGATGGACGCTATACGTCGAAGTAATCGGTACCTCAAAGTTGGTGATTTTATTACGCGCGTACGCCCGCAATTCTCCTAATTAATGTTCGAATTTTGTCGGCCATTTTTGCTATAAGATAATATTACACTTAATCTTCGAGACGGGCGTGAACTCTGTTGAGTTTAAACATCATTAACGAAATGGATTAAAAGCGTATTAAAATTTTATTAAGTACCGAGGGCGACCGTTAAATAAGAGAAGTAAATTTCAGTCTATAACCAAAATAAGTTATTGATCGCCTATTAACAGAAGGAAGATCGCTTTTCAATTAATGTTAGAAATAAAAAAAGGGAATTGAAACTTTGTGAAATCAAGTTACGTTTCATGAATCAAAAATCTGAAAGCTCTTCACCCAATTTATGATCACATCGAGTCGTTCCGCTGATGGATTTCGTAAGCACTTTGTCAAGCTGTAGAAGCACGACATTAATATCACGTTTTGTTTCATGTTCGATAACAAAAAAAACATAAATACAGAATTTTTTGTTCATTTGTGATCGCCCTGTACATAGCATTTGTCATTTTAGAGCGGAAGCTGAGAAAATTGTAGTGTTATCCATAACCAATAACTGAATTAGTACATTTACGAAGTATTTTTATGTAACTGCATCAAGGTATTGGAACAGAGCCATACCAAGGAAGCGCAGTTTTGACTTGACAACTTCTTCCGTAGGTAATCGGGCAACACGCGTTAAACTTCTCATACAACTTTGGTCAAATTTATTATAAAAATAACAAACTGCGTGTTCATAAACAAAAATAGGGCAGACTGCGCGAGAATTTAGCGTAAACAAAAATACACGTTCTACAACCGTCGCGAAACCAACAGCAGCGTTTTCTTGTCTCCAGTATTTAAGGAAACGCTACTTTCACTATAAAATAAACTCCTTCGTGTTAATTTGTAAATAAATCAAAGTAAACATTTTTTCCAAATGGTCAACAATCATACGTTATTGATGGTTGACACTAATGCTATTGTTTCAGTCTTTGGGACCTTTGGCCCTGTCGTTCATTGCGGTTTCTTTTATAAATTGATGACGATCTTTAAGTAAAATATCATAAAGCATTTTTCAACATAAACTCTGTACTAATTAGCTGTTTTTGTATGACTCTTGAAGACTACAAATTTTTGAAGATTCCAAAGATCTCAGAATCAAATAGAGACGCTAAATAACTAGCCCCCATCCGCAACACTCTAAACGTTCCTAAAATTTTTAAACGGTTCTTCAAGATCATTGGTGTATTCTAAAGGCTTATCGTTTTGAAAGTACCCTCTTCCGACAGTTTATATATGAAGAATGATCACCTATTACGTTTACGTGGAGTCCGAGAGAATGGAAATTAATAGAAAATTAGGTCTTTCGTCACGACCGATTATTGCGCACCCTTAATTCTTAAATCTTCCTTTCCTTTAAATCTGCAATTAATTCGCCGTTTGCAACCGTTCCCGTCAAGATATTTCAATTGGTCTTGCGTTGCTATTGTCAATTAAAAGACGAGGCAGAGTAATATTTTAGAATTTCAGTCCCGTTAAGTACTTAGTAGATGGTTTTAGTTTCCTATGTTAATAGATCAAGCTTAAAACCAGTCGAGACCGTGCAGTCTATGTGTTTACCAGCTTGCTATCACCGACCCCGGCGGTTCATTCCAACATTTAAATTAAGAATAGGTATTAATTGGATTACCGAATTTTGGAATTTCATCTCGACCATTGAAGTGAGTCTAATTAACAATAGCTGATTAAATGAGCTACAGTAAACAGCATCCAATTAAGTCGTGAGGAGTCTCAAAAGAAGCGTTCTTAATTAATTTAAATGTTACGACCAAATACAGATTGTTAGGACCTTTCCAAACCGCATTATTAATTAAGGAAGTTTTAATTGTTAGATGTAGATAACCGAATACGCTATGAAATAGCCGAATTTTATAAAAGGTTGTGTAGAATGAATCTTTTTGTCATTGCTTTTTGCTTTTACATTAAGTTTATCGCACCGTATTTTTTTGCTTTCCCTTGTGCAGAAATTTCTACCGCTACGTTTAATTGCAAGGTAAGCTTTTTGCTACTTTTTGTTTTATTAATTATAAGGGCGGATATTGTTTCGTCTACCTGCATTTGATTTCCCGTAGCTACCGCTAATTAATTTGTGCTTTGTTGCTTGCGTTCCCGGTAGGGCAATCGCTACCGTGTGTATTGGAGTGAAACTCTTATCTGGAACACATTGTATATTTCTCAACATCAGGATCACAAGGAATGAGACATTTATTGTTAGATATCGTCCCATTCGTTACATTTTTCTGATTCAAATCTTAAACATGGTTGCATCAAGAAATCCAGAAACTTAGAAGGTACAAATAAAAAATGGTTGTACCAGGATCCCAGCAACCTAAGAAGGTAGATGTAACACCTACAATTGTCAGGCATACAGTAGGTACGTGTTATATTCTCTTGATAAAGTCTCTTAAAATTCGATAAAATTTCATCTCCGCAATAACATTTGCTGGTTGCCAGCTATCTTGGTTGACAATTGACTATGCTTAGGACTAATTGCATACTGCAGTTTAAGTCAAACGTTCCCTATACACTTTATAAAGATTCGCTTATTTGACACATTGGCTTAACAATTTAATGGAGTCGTTAACTTCCGCGTTGTTGGGAAAATATTTTACAAACCGCCCAAAGTTATACGTGCCGGAACGCCTAAAAATACTGAAGTGACGTGAAATGTATTCCATGATAAATTGGTACGAATTGGAAGCATCCCCTTGGCGATATCAAACACTTTACTTACATTACGCATATCAAAGAGAACCGATGAAATTTTAGCGAGAGAAGGGAATTTTTTTTTGTATGTAAAGCCGTCAATCGTAGAAACGCCCATTGTTTTATCCTTAAATTTATGTGACAAAAGCGCTTAGGTAACGCAGAATTTGCAGATTTTCCGATAACGGGATTTTACGATTTCCTTTGTTACGAAGGGCGCAGGGTTTCCTAACCTTGTTAATATCGGGTTGTCTAGGGAGTGGATAGAATGTACCTTAATGACATGTCAATACAGCATACAATAGATGAGTTTAACCGAGTGCATTTTAAGCGAGAGTCAATCTGAGGCTCGACCGGTTTATGAGTGGCGGTGTGCTCAATGGAATAACTATTTTATCGCATTGCTCAAAAATGCTTGTTTTGTCATTTTATTGTACCACAATTTATTAAAGTTAATCAAACTGTCGAATATAAATAATGCTCTTGCACCCCTTTGCATAGGTCCTGAACCTCATGAGTAATTTACTCTAATTTTTTGTAGAAAAAAACGAGAATACATGGGGAATTGTCTGAATAATTGTTACTTTTTAAACGTAATTACACAGATTTGTACTAATGTACCGATTTAGTTAGGTATACCATGCACGCGAATGCTCGTCAGCATTTTGCATTGATTTTGGTAGTAATGAAGGGGAGGCCTACATTAGAGTGCGTCCATTATTTGATTGCAAGTTATCTTACTGCCTCCACTCAGGGTTTTCAGTTTATTAATCGGCAGAGCAAAACGATGCAAGCTTAATAGGGGAGTCAATGGTGTTCGTCTGTCCGTCCGTGAACACCATAACTGTCAAACAAAAGCTTCTGAAAACATATCACACTTTATACCAACTAAACCTAAGTACATACTTGAAATGTAAAGAAGTCACCACGAAAAAGATTCCTGTATAAGGTGTTCTTAAGAGTGGCTACTGTAAATATGGAACAAGTACATTATTTAACACGCTTAGTGGTGTATGCATGCAAAGCGTGCACTTTTGGAAATTACTGTCTCCGTAAAAAGTGAGCTTAACAAAATAATTTGGCAGATTTTATTAGAAAGCCCGTTTCATTCCACGTTGCTTTATATCATAGACCAAATACAATAGACTGTGCACGGCGTAATGAATCATTGGTCGCATAGATGGCGCACACATTAATTACGATGACCTCAGTAGCGTTTCAAATTTTATTTCGCGAATCGTGATGATGTTTTCCGTTCATGCAAAAGCGTTGGTTACTCGCCTTATCATGTCAGCTACAGGAAATGTTTTTGCAGAGTCAAATTTCACAGTGTAGAAGCTACCTTGTGTGGGTGTGTGTGTGTCGCTGTTATTTGATTATTGTATTGTTTAGGCGAACTTTTTTAAAGGTGCGAATTTGTGCGTAAATTTATGGACATTATTAGTTAGATTAGTGACGTGAAATAGCTATCCAGGTAAGTTACTGTGATATTATTTCATATTTGTAATATTAGATTATGCCTACCGTTTTATTCTCTACCGCATGGATTAATTAGTATTTCATTGGCTTAGTAATTTGATTACGTTTCTTATATTTTTCCTTCACTGCCAATATTAATGTACGTACTTGTTATAGGAGAAATATCTGGAAATTTATGTTCTTACCTTAATTGCAAGAAATCTGCAAGAAATACACCAGGACTTCGGAAACGTTTCTTTCCTGTAAATGACGATGAAGCGTGTAAAAAATGGCTTACACTCTGCGGGAACTCGGCGATCGTACTTTTGGAGAATGAAAAACTGAAAAAACGTTTTCTTTGTGGTGAGCACTTTTCTCCAGATTTGAAAAATTCAGCGAAATTGCCTCGCAGTGCTTTACCATTTCATTATGATTCCAAAGATGATCAATTGAGGGACAAATATGTCGAACCTTTAAGACGCGAGCTTGACACACCTGCCAGATCTGCACCTTTATCCGAACCGCGAAAGCAACCAATGTCCCCTAATGTGAAGTGTTATGGAGACGTGATAGATCTCTCATCGCCAGAAAACGTGATTGAGTCTGATCCAGCAACACCGAAGAGGAAAAGGCAAGAGATTCACATGCTCACACCCAGCAGACGTAGTAGGTCGCTTGAAACGGGAAAGCAATCATCTTCTCCTGGGATGAAGTTTCTCGAAAAAATAACCGAC